TGCTTACGGAAGCACCTACCATACGTGCTCCAACAATTTGCCCACGTTCGAAGTCTGTTAACTCTGACATAATGCAATGACAACCTCACATAACAGTACTCCGACAACAACTGAACTGTTTAGCACATTTACGAAGTGGTATAGGTGGCGTCAGTAGTCAAAAACGCCAGCTCCACCTACATATTTCATTAAAATCAATCTTTCTTTTCAAATATGCATTTCACAAGGTGTTTCCATATTTTTGTCCATCCACTGTATATATAATTATATTTATATACGTTTGGTGCGGCCGATTGCAATCAAAATACGAGGTGCACATCTACATGTTATAGCAGTCCTATATACAAAATTTCAACGTTCTGAGGCACGTACGTGCGTACATACGTTCGTACAGACGCCACGAAAAATTCTCTTCAGAATTAATTTTAAAGCAGTTTTATAATTTTTTTGGAGGAAACGTGTCTTTTATACTGTTCTTACGTACAGATACCATACAAAAACATCGTTAAATTGCATTCGATAGCAGTCAAAATGGATATTTTCGTTGAAATATGCTGCCTGAAACTTTTCGCGATTACAATACTTCCTTTTTACTTCGTACAAGGAAGTAAAAACGAAAAGGTATTCAAAAGGGCATTGTTGTAAAACTTATGATTGTTTCTAAATTTAATTTCCGTTGAAACAACATAATTATTATGTATCAAGGTCATCTCACGCTCCTTTTTACTTCTTTTTGAGGTACGTATCTCGCATAACTCAAAAACGAGTTGCCTCAGACCGTTGAAATTTCGTATATAGGACTGCTATAACATGTAGATGTGCACCTCGTATTTTGGTTGCAATCGGCCGCACCAAACGTATATAAATATATTTTATATATATATCCACTCTGTTACCCGGCTCAGTGATCTCACTTTCTTTACTCTTACATGTTTGTAAATTGCACAGTTTTTGCTTTAAAAATGATTATATTATGTTTTTTTAGCTCCGGTTAAGGTTTTTATGCCTTTAGTAAATATGTATGCAATATTTTTAGAATTACCAACAATTTTAAAGTTGTTTAAGTGCCGCTAAGCCTTTTTTTATGGCTACCATTGATTGTTTATATTTGAAACAGCAGAATAGTGGATTTGTTGCCTATCTAGAGAAACTTAGCTTCGCAACAACAAAGATAACGCCTTCATTTATTATTGCCAATTAAATCATGCTTAATCCTTTCTGGAATTAAGTGTTCGAGGAAATAAGTGTTTAAGATTTACTTCGTAATTTTTAATATAGATATTTTGAGTTTTTATGTATTTTTGCCTTCTCGCGATGTGAGAACTGAATTAATTGAATGAGAAATACTCAATCGTCTGTGAAAAACTGTTTCTTTTTTTTTGTTTTCTTAATTTTTTTATACATCATTCTAGCTTTATCGTATTTGAATAGAACATGTGGCAACGATTAGACAATTCTATTCTTTAAATGATATAAATTTTGTGCATTATGAGTTATAATAAGAATGAAGTATAATACTGTTAAGTGAATCTAGCGCCAGAGTATCGCTATGGTAAACAAATACTAGAGTTAATTTTAAAGAATGCATTTTTTCTATTGTTGTTTATGCGCTGTCGGCGAAGTAGATTTAATTCAATCCAGTAAGTTTAAATGAAATTCAAGAAAAAATGCGTATAATTCAATATTCCGTACAAGGAAGTCATGTGGTGTACACATCAGATTTTTTTTTACATATTTCAAATAACAGTTTTTTAATGGCACTTTTTCATTAATTTTTCAAAATAACATTTGTAATTTTGAGGAATGCACGTCTTTTAAATAACAGCCTTATCATAATATGTTTTTCATACTTTGCCTGAAGAGCATTTGTCATTCTATAGAATTTGTAGGTATTATATACAATTATATACAAGTATTTCAATGTAGTGTTTATGAAGGCTTTCAGTTGGAAACCCTCCATCTGAATAGGTCCATTCTCAAGCATACAAGTCTCAGATATCGCAATAAAATCGTACTGCTTTATTATTTCATCTTCTAGAAGATCAATGATAATGTGCAACCAAACTTTGAACACTGAAATTAGTGATAATGAATGATATAGTTTCACCGTGGTTGTCAATAATAATGAATTATGTTACGCTCGGGAATGGGGATGCACGGCCTCTTACTGTGCATGCGCACAGTGTATAATGTCATCGAAATTCCCGTGATTCTAGCTGACTTTATTATTCAACCGTGGCAGAACGGTAATTCCAAATTCCAAAATTCTTTTTTCTATTTTGGTGTACACCTTCGTCTAGCAAACGAACCACAAACCAACTTTATATGTTTTGTAGTTGCGGATATCTTCGCATTTTCTTACACCGCAAAAGCATCATAATTTTTCCTTTCCACAGACTATCATGGATCTACGTAAATCTACGTTAAAATTACTTTAACAAAAATTTGAGTAAATGTATGACTCACTTTTATATAAATTATAACAAACATTCAATTGAAAGTGGAACCGCAATTCTAGAGGAGTTATTCCTCATGGTAGGAACTTCCAAATTTCTTCGGTAGATGGCTGTGTATGTCAGAAGGAATTCATATTGTGAATCCAACTAAGGAACTTTCGTTTTCATCAGGCTCTAACATGGGTTTATCTCAAGGTCCAGGCAAGATCTATCTTAATAGCTGTGTAGATGGATTATAAACTACCTATGAACCTTATAGAGTGAAGCAGGAGAGACACGCTGTGGGTTGCTCTAAACAGGTTACAGTTGTGGAGGTGTACTTGTGTATAAGTGGAGCGCATAATCAGAATTTCGCCATTGGTCGTATAGTCCATCCTATCTAGCTGTCAAGTCCATTTTTGATTGAGAATACCTCAAGAAACAGTCCGAGGGTATCTCACCTAACTTTCATTAGCTCCGAACCACTCGAGAGGACCCAGTTTGCCGTGTATTTTAAGTGATCCCATGCCGTACAGACACGTTACAAGTACAAGTATTCATGCCTTCTCCGGGATTGGAACCCGAGCCCAACAATACAAGAGCCAGGAGTACTAAGCACTATACCGATCAGAGCGAAGCACATTGTCTTCGAAACACTTGTACATATTGTAAACTTGTACATATTGTACAATTGGTACAAGTGTACACTTGTACATATTGTATATTAGATATCGCCAAGCTTTTCTAACTGCTAATCTTCCGCCCCAGTTGACATTCCAAGGGAGAACTCCCTTGCGGGAGATATCTCTTTTTCTACCATTAACCTCTCGAGAAGATTCGCCTAGCTGTGAAATTTTGAATGCCCCTTTTCCGCGCATATGCTTACAAACATTTATGCTTTCTCAAAAATTTGAACTCGAGCACTTCGGTACTGCAGTCAACGCCACTAACCACTATCTCGTCTGGACGACAGTGATAAGTAATCCAATTTTAATCGGTTGAAGTTGTTATGGAAAGGATTTTATAGTCGAAAAAAAGAATGTGTATGAGACTGCAAGAGTCATCGCAATTTGTGGGACCGCACGGGACGGCAAAATTTGGCGGACGCAAGATTGTTGAAATTTAGGGGGGTACTTGGGCGGCAGAATTTTAGAAGACACCGAGATTATACCGGGCAAAGCAAAAGCCCCAAAGTTTGCTCTGGGAATTTAGTTATTCACGTAGTGTAGGTTTTGATGGTACAGCGATTTTACTCTTTGATGTGTGAGTACAGCTAATGTGCCGCAATCAGATCAAACGCACTTACTAATCGCTGAGGAATCAATTCCTGCAGTGGACTGTCTCGTGAAGAATTATCAAATAACAACCCAGAATATAAACTATGTCTGCAAACGATGTAATCTTTAAAATCACAGCTTCAAATGACTTCAGAAAGAGAAAATACCTGACGCCTAATTCCGCGAATTCATTCTGATCAGAAGTGTTTCTTATCACAGATTAAGCTCCTTTTTCTAGAAATCCTAGAATAGCATTCTTGTGTACCTTGCTTTGAATACAACTCACACTCTTTACAGAATTTTTTACTCTCTCAAGCATTTCCCACATACACATGTTGTTGCCCTTATCGCTCGTCAGTTCAGTATACTACTATTCGAAAATCTAGGAAATGTCTTTGAATAAATGATTTCAAAAGATAAGAGCATCACACATGAGTCTTTCAGGTTTCTTCGTAAAGGAAAGGGTGCGAGTTATACGGCGAATAGACCTAAAAAATTTAAAAATATAGTTTGAAATCGTAAGTGCGCCTTATATATACGGTAATTCAAAATGTATAATATAAGTTAACCGGCGAGGAGATTAGCTGTGTGGGCATTTTCGTCGTCTTTCTCATGAGTTAAGTAAACTGAGAAAGCCTTTCATGAAAGCATCTCTTTCCCTAAGCAGATAGTCAAAAGTGTGCTCTGCAGTAGCCCTTGAAATATGCTTTGTGTGGCATTATATTTCTAATATTACTTGAACTGAAGAGTCATTAGGTTTTCTTTAAAGCAGGTGACGTGAGAAATGTGCAGAGCGCTAACCGGGACTCGAACCCTGGACATCTCGAATACGCGACGAGTATGCTTCCAACCACACCACGAAGGCATGGGTAAAGGAATGAGAAAATGCCTTATATACTGCTCCTTTTAACGGACGACTGGGGATTAATGGACCCAGTCGTCAAATCCTGATAATGACAAACTATCACCCACCATCCTTTAATTCGGGCGCCACTGCATAGTAATTAGGCTTTCTTTGAACATGAAAAATGTGCAGTGTGCTGTTGAGACTCGAATCCTGGATCTCTCGAATACGCGTCAACTATGCTTTCAATTGTTGGATATGTGATACTTCCGCCTGTGCGCGCGCATAACGATTGGAACTGATTACGTACGTAAGTTTTACCGCGCGCTCAACGATTTATGATGTAATCAGTGTTCTATTTTTAGTTTAGTTTGCTAATGAATGCCAGCTCGCTGCCCACAAAATCTCTTCAATACCTTCAGCGAATATCTAAGCAATCGCAAGATGATGGTGCCACACAACCAAGGCATTACAGTCAAGGTCCAGAAGAGAGGCTGCCCACAAGGCTCATCTGCCGGCCCTCTCCTCTGGAACCTTACGTTCAACACAGTCCTCACCCATGCATGGCCGCCCTATGCAAAGATCACTGCCTACGCGGATGACGCGGTCATCATCATCCAAGGACGTACGCGAGTTGAGTTAGAAGAAAGAGGTGAAATTTTCAATAACCTATGCACCAAACTCAAACTCACACTCTCCATCGATAAATCCCCAGCACTAATTATTCCAAAGCCAGGCACCAACCCAACACGGAAACCCTGTATCAAGGTACAGCAAACCAATATCAAGATCGTTTCTGAGCTGAAATACCTCGGGATTATCTGGGATCGAGGCCTGACGTGGATCTCCCATCTTCACTACATACACAGCAAAACAAACGCAATAGCCAGAAAAGTCAAACTTTTCCAAGGAATCAGCTGGGGTCAGAATCCTCACATCAATAAAATCCCGTACACAACCGTCATAGAACGGATCTGCTTTTATGCCGCAACAATCTGGGCAAATCCAATGCAGGGCAGAAAGCAAAAACAGCTACTTACTATCCAGGGCCCTTTCGCGCTTATGATATGCAAAGGCTTTCGAACCACTACAACATCTGCAGCACTAACACTAGCCGGCATCCCTCCCCTTTATCACAGAGCCACGCAGAAAGCAGCGACCACCAGGATACTACAACTCAGACAAGATGCCACCTTTAATGGACACACCTTTAGCCCCACCTCCTATGAACACCTAAGGCATCACAGCAGACAACATCCAGGTGACAAAGGAAAAGAAGTCATCATCAGCGTCCCAAAAACTTCCTCTTCAAATATCACAAGCGCTCATCCTGTCTACTATACGGACGGCTCTAAGCAGGACGCAGGAGTCAGCAGCGCCTTCCTTTTTACCCACCATAGTGAAGTCATCACAAGCTGGAAGGGCCATCTCCAACCACATAACAGCATCTTTCAAGCTGAGGCACTCGCCCTCCCGAAGGCCATAGCACACGCTGCATGCTTCAACTACCGCTCACCCATAACCTGCACTGACAGCCAGTCAACACTACATGCCATAAAAAATCACAGACATACATCACCAATCATCAAAGACATTCAAAGTCTACTGCAGCAGCATCGTTCCAACCCAGCAAGACTCATATGGGTGAAGGCCCATGTGGGCCTTGCTGGCAATGAAGCTGCAGATGCCCTAGCCAACGAGGCAGCCACCAACCATGAGGCCATAGAAGTGAACCTACCAGCTCCATCCTCCTACCTCAAGTCACAGCTCACACGAGCAGCCATTACAGCCTGGCAACGCGACTGGACAGCTGCGACACGGGGCGTCGCGCTCACATTTTTCTACCAAAAGTCTCAACTAGCCGACTCTGCTCCATACCGCCGCTTACCAGATTTATAACAGGGCATGGGCCCTTTCCCACGTACTACCACAGACATGGCATATCCACCACAGACATCTGCATATGCGGACAAGAAGGCAACCCTAACCACTACCTGTTCGCATGCCCTCTTACCTCGGCCATGCACCTTCCAGAGCCTACCACCAATCTCGATGCCTTTCTCTCCTTTCTCCGTTTCACGGTTAAAAACCGTGCAGTGGTGAATAAAATTTGCCAAATGATTAACTACCTAGCCACACAGGGTCAAGACGTCTGTCACCCGACTTAAGCAGCTGCCATGATCAACGTTCATCGCCGTTCTCCACAGAAGTCCTCAACCGCAGTATACTGAGTGCCTGTGCTAACTGTGCTACGCTTATTGTGCTAACTGAGCTACGCTAATTGTGCTATACACTGTGCAACAAACGTATATAACTGACCTAGCGCATCAATGTTAAAATTTCTTAAGCATGATATATGTCATGCATGTTTATATCTCTGTTTATTACATATGTGCACTATGTATAGTAATTTAAGTGTCGGTGTATAGTGTTTTGTATCTTAAGCGCATGCGTTTTGTGCATCTGTGTATTTTGTTTCAGCATTGCGTTATATGTGTTTATTACAGCATATTTATTTTATGTGTATGTCCAATGTGTATCGCACCATATGCATCTGTCACTGTATAAGTATTTGCCTCAATGGCCGCACTGAATGTACATTACTATTGCTTCTGTACTGCGCGCGTAATATGCTCATGTCTCCGAATTATAACTTATGTGTCACGCATATCGTCTCCTGCATATCTGCGTTTTGCGTCTTGTACCTTTTGTATCTTTTGTGCATATGAGTACTGCACTATATGTGTTTATTATTGTAAATTGCCAGATTGCAATAATTGCCAGACTGCAATCTATCGCCAGATTGAAATGTGCGCCTGTGTATGAAATAACCAAACTTTGGAAATTGCCATTTGATTTGTAATTATGCTATTGCAACAGCACTGTGCGCGGAAAATGCTTATGTTTGATTTTAATACGTAATGTGTATACTGTAATGTTTAATAATGTAATGTTTAATTATGTGTAATTATGTTTACTTGGGTGTTTTAATTATGTTGATGTAATGTTTAATTATGTGTATAATGAAATTTGCATAATGTGTTTTAATGCGCGATGTATGTAACATGTTTATATCTCTGTTACTTATGTGCAATGGGTATAGTATTTTATGTGTCGGTGTATAGTGTTTTGTATCTTAAGCACATGCGTTTTGCGCATCTGTGTATTGCGATTTGTATCAATTGTGCATGAGTCTTGCTTTACATGTGCTTATCACAGCATATTGTATTTTATGTGTATGTCTAATACGTATCGCATCATATGTATACCCTGTACAAGTATTTGCTTCTATGGCGGCATTGCTCGTACACTACTATTGCTGCTGTACTGCGCGCGTAAAATGCTAATGCCTTTAAATTATTACTTATGCGTCATGCATATCGTTTCCTGCGTTTTGTACCTTTTGTGCATATGAGTATTGCATTACGTTTGCTTATTATTGCACTTTATATCATTGTATATTGTATTACTTCTATTGCACATCGTATTACCTCTATGGCCGCATTGATTGTACACTATTATTGTACACTATTATTGCTACTATTAGCCGCATTGATTGTACACTATATTACTGCACTGTGCGCGTAATATGTTAATATCTCCGATTATTACCTATGTATCCTGCGTAATGTGTTCTGTGTATTTGTGTACTGCGTTATGTAAATTATATGCACATGAGTTCTGCACTATATTTGATTATTACTGTATACTATATTACTGCATATTGTATTACCTCTACTGCATATTGCATTGCATCCTGTGTCCTACGTACTGCATCCCATGTATCTGTGTACTGCGTCTGGTATCAATTGTGCATATGAGTACTGCATTATATGTGTTTATTATTGCACTTTGTATTATTGTATATTGTACTACCTCTATTGCATATTGTATTACCTCTACAGCCGCATTGATTGTGCACTACTATCGCTACTGCACTGCGCGCGTTAACATGTTAATATCTCAGATTATCACTCATGTGTCCTGCGTAATGCGTACTGTGTACATGTGCACTCCGTTACGTATCTATCGTACATTATATGCGTTTATTATTGCATATTGTGTCACAATCATAAGTACATTGTATTACCTCTATTCCATATTGTATTAAGTGTTTAAGTGTTTTTGTGTACCTTTTCAAGTGTCTTTAAGTGTTTAGGTGTCTTTACGTGTCTGAAGCGTCTTAGGTGTTTAAATGTTATAGGTGTTTTTAGCGTTCATGTATTCTTTTTTTTTTTTGTGTGTGTACATTTCACGTGCGTTTATGCTTTGTTTAATGTACAAACAAGACTGCCGCACCCACAAATGTACATCAAATTTCAATGTAGCACAATGTCGCCCTTGTATGGCCGACCACCACTATGAGAGCTCCCGACCAAAGGAATGAACCAAGCAGGATAAAGCTCTCATAGCGGATTGTCATCCACCACTAGCTACCGCCACAACCAGGTCTGACCCGGCAGATCAGCGGCATTTAGTGATCACAAAAATTTATATATTTACAGAGAGTAGTCATAGAGAGAGTACATAGCAATTGTAGCAAAGCTTGCTGCGAATACATTCATAAAAGTCACTGTTACAAGTATGTCCATAGTCCACAGTATATTTAGTCAAATTGAGGTCATAATCAATATTTAGAGTTCATTGTCATAATTTGTAGTCCAGAGTTCATAATCATAAGTTATTGTCGTAATTTGTAGTCCAGAGTTTATAATCATAAGTCATTGTCATAGTAGTAGTAGTTCATTATAGTAGTAGTTCATTCTCATAATAGTAGTTCAATATCATAGTTATATACATTTGCAAGAATAAGAATATGCATGATAGGATTATCAGGGTCAATGTTCCTTCTTACCTTCTTCGGGAACATGCAAGGACCTGACTCGGAACAGAGAGCTTACTAAAGCTATGTTCACTAATTGTGGGAAGTAGACAGGATACACAAGAAGGGTATACAAAACCCTTTATTTTTCTCTATTTTACAAAAACTTCCGTACTTCGGAATACACCGACCCGCTACTTGGGGTCTAACGTAAAAATATAAAAATAGAACTAAACTCTAATTTAACTTTAAAATAATAAACGTGGAAGATTGGCCTTATATTAACAGGAAGCGTATGTAGTACAGAGAACTGTGAACACTACAATACGTTTAAATTTTATCAAGAGGATTAAAACCTCTGGCCTGGAAGGCAACAAGCAACTGCGTAACTTCTGAGGTAAGCGGCCTGCTTCGACTCACTGCTTCCTCTCTCTCGCTTGGCAAAAAGCCACAACTTAAATACTTGGCGTTCGCCAGACAAACTTTGCATAAAAACCTTAACGCTTATAATTCTGGCCGGAAGTAGAAAATAAGAAGTGATAGTAAAGATTTAAAATAAAATAAACGTTAGTAAAACTTAAGATACTTACAGGATGACCAGACATCAATTCGGAACATTGGTTACCATAAAACATGTAAACAGTGGCAACAAATGAGCATATAATGAGAAACACAAACGTACAAGCATAAGTACAAAAACAGGAATATAAAGTATACAAACCAATACAGGAATACCAAAATATATAATATAATATAATGCTTTGAATATACTATATACAATATAAGATACAATACAATATAATAGAATAATAAACAACAATAAATAACTCAATATACAATATAAGATGCAATACTATATAATAGAATAATAAACAACAATAAATAACTCAATATACAATATATACAAAAACATTACACAGCTTACAATGCAATATAGTCAGTACACAATCAGATAATATATATCAAACGTAGAGTATGGAGACTATATATACAAAAATACTAAAGTATACAATAAAATATAATAGAGTAATAAACAACAATAAATAACTTTATATACAATATATACAATAACATTGCACAACACGCAATGCAACACATTCATTATACAATAGATAGTATCAAACTTAGAATATGGAAACTATATAGAAAGAATATACTATTAATTTGAAAAGATATGTGTAAATGGTGTTAACATATGTAGTGTGAAGAACATGAAGGAGATACTTAGCTTGTAAATGTAAATGTGTACAGGCTATTACAGATGTCAATGATGCGCTGAAGTTTATTGATGGACAATGGATTATTTAAGAGATATTGAGCCCACTGCTGCCAGTACTGCGTAAGAGGTCTCTTGAAATGAAATTGATTGGTGTGCACACAGTCAAAGGCGAAATGATCCGGAGATCCGAGACTGCCACAGTTGCAGATGTCTGTCGTTCGAATGTGAAATCTATGTAAGTACGTTGGAAATGATCCATGTCCTGTGAAAAAGGCAGCTTGGGAGAAGTTTGAAAGAATCATCTTTGCTGAGACTTTTGGAAAGAAAAGATAGGTACGTCGTCCAGTGCTAGCAGAGGACCAGCTCTGCTGCCAACGTTCCATAAGTTTATCTATGGCAATTGACTTCAAATAATAGGCTGGATAGGCTATTGGATATTCCACTAAAGGAACTCCTTGAGAAGCCTCTTTAGCTATAGAGTCTGCATGTTCATTGCCCAAAACCCCTTTGTGTCCAGGGACCCATTGGAGAATGGGACGGTGATTAGAGGCAGTTGAAGAAGAAGTTGCTGAATAATATGGACCAGCGAGCTAGTAGGATGCATGTTTTGTAAGGCTTCAAGACTGGATTTAGAGTCTGTATAAATGATGGTGCGAGCAGTAAATTTAGAAGCTAGGTCTATTGCTTTATAATGGCAACAAGTTCTGCTTGATAGACGGAGTTTTTAGTGTTCAGTATTCTTCTCCAAGTGCGTGTTAGTGCGCCATTCACATACAGACAGAGGCCGTAACCTGTACCTGTCGGAGAACGAGATCCATCAGTATAAATCTCAATGTTGAAGTTAGGCAGAAGCTGTTG